TTTAACGTATTTCCATGGAAAAAAAAAAAAAAAAAGAAAACAAGTTTTTCTGGGAGATCTTCAACCCCCTTAAATATTCCAATCCATGTTATAAACCAGAATATATTCTGCAATATATCCTGAACGGTGCCGTTCCCCACCTGTGCTTACACTGTCTCTTGTTACGTTGCCTATTTTGTGTTTATTTACAACAAACTATTTTATTTATTTATTTTGTGTTTATTTAGCAAAGTGCATGCTGTTTTTAAAGGCAATTCCTTAAATTCCCCCAAAGTCTCCGGGCTGGAGCTGACAGCCGAGCACAGGCATCGCTCGTGGTGTTGCGAGTCATTGCCAGCACTGGGGGAGCATCCCTGGAGCTGCCAGATGAATTATGGCCGGGAAGAATGTCCCCTGTGAAGGAAACCAGCATGACTTGGGTGTAGCTCCAGCATCAAGTCGGCTTCCCTGCGTCCCATCTCCTCCTTGGGAATATGAGGTTGGGTGCTCCTGCCCCAACCCACTGGGAGGCAGAGGGACTTTGGGTCCGAGCCAGGTCCCTGTAGGAATTAGCAGAGGTCCCAAGCTGGGTGCTGAGCTCCGGAGGGATTTTAAGACAGCGGAGAGGTCCCTTGCATCCCTATCGCTTCCCTATCCAGGGTGCACCAGGAGGAGCGATTCCTCTGCCTTCCCACTTCTCCATGTCAACCACCAGCAGACGTCAAGGCTGTTTTGGTGGACTCAGAGCTGGCTGGTGCAGAGAAGCAAAGGAAAACGCCAACATCCCGGTTGGGTTGGGCTGGCGGCGGCATCGCCCGGAGGCTCCGGAGGCTGGAGCATGGCAGAGGCTTCGGCTCCGCTACCCGGTCACGGCAGTTGTTTGACTTTATCCCATAAGCCCCTGTATGCGACAGGAGAGCCGTTGAGCTTTTTGGCTTAGCGGGTGCAAAGGCTCTCGTTATGCCGTGATCCTCCGGAGGCGAAAGTTGATTTATTTGGGAAGCGAAGCCGGCAGAGGGAGCTGGCTTTTCACGCGCGCCGGGCGGCCGAGCAAATTAAGGCGTTAGTGGGCCCAGAGTGTTTTCTCACCCATCGTCCCAGGAGTGAAGGCGGCGAGGCTGGAATTTGCAGTGGGATCTGCATGATACCCTGCGGAGCGAGGCGAGGGAGTCGGGTTTGCCGAGAGCTCCCCGAGAAGTCCTGCCCCATGGATGCTCATCCCACCCCATGGATGCTCATCCTGCCCCGAGGATGCTCATCCTGCCCCATGGATGCTCATCCTGCCCCGTGGATGCTCCTCCCGCCCATCCCGCCCGGTGGAGGCTCATCCTGCCCCATGGATGCTCATCCTGCCCTGTGGATGCTCATCCTACCCTGTGGATGCTCATCCTGCCCCATGGGTGCTCATCCCGCCCCATGGATGCTCAGGGCCTCCTTGCTGGAGGAACAGGCTCAGGGCATGGAGACGCTGTTCCTTACACAACTCTGGCTCTTTGTGAAGGTGACATTTTAGAGCAGATTTTTAAATCTCAGTGTTATTTCATGTTCTGGGACCTGGAGACCCCTAATTAATCCCGGTGCCTGGAACGGTCCCGACATCCAGCTGCAGCTGTGGCACCTCGGGGCCAGGCGCAGCCCCAAACCCTTTCCTCCCTCCAGCATCTCTCCTCAGAGGCTTTTCAGGATTTGACTCCTTGGTACCTTCAGGAATTTTTTTCCCCCATCCCGGCCATTCGCATTGGAGTATTTGTGAGTTTTTTCCAAGTTGCTTTTCCAATTTTCCCGCATCGTTTCTAAATTTATACTGTGCCTCCCAGCTTCCACATCGGCTGCAAACTTCAAAATATCATTTTGTTCCACTGCTTGCATGGTTCATGACGATACATTGACAGATCAGACCTAGGATGCACCTCCATGGAAATCCAGTTAATAAATCCCCCCATGTCCGTAACGGACGACTCATATTTGCTCTTAAGCAACAGTTTCCTGACCCATTTGGCATTTATCCTTCGGTAGTTTCCTCTAGACCAAGTTTCCCCTCATCTGCTTATGAGGATGAAAAGTGAGAGGGCATGGAAAGCTCTGCTGTAGGCAGGATAAATGGCTTTTATCACCCTCCCAGCTCCCGGCGCTGGTTATCCCGTTGAGCTGAACGGATGCTGCCGCGCGGAGCTGTCGGCAGTCGGCAATCTGCTCCGTTTGCCGACGCTAAACGAGCCCAGCGCGGGCGACTTTGGATTTCCCCCCCGTGGCTTTTTTTTTTTTTTTTTTTTGCATCATTAGCAATAATTTTAATTAACCACCGAGTAGGTTTTTTCCCAGGGGAAAAGAATTAAGGCCGGACCCCTGCGAGGCGCCGGTTCCCGAGCTAACGGTGTCGGTGCGCGCGGCGGAAGTGCTAATGGCTCAGCCCGGGGTATGCCGTGGCGGCGACGGAGAGCTTTGACTTATTACCCCCCTGCTCCCAGCCCCGAGAGAGAACGAAGGCAAAAACATCATCATCATCAATTTCTCAGCAGAGGATCGCGAGAAAGCGGCTGCCGGTTTGGGTTGCCGCTAATTTGTCTTCCATGAGCAATTAATCAGGAAGACGAGCGGGCACCGTCGCAGCCGAGACGCTCCCACCACCATCCTGTCACCCTCCGTGAGCACCACCCGATGCCCATCCCAAGCCAGGGAACCCCTGGGCACCTGCCCTTTTTGCAGGAACGTTTGGGGCCGCGCAGCCTTTGGTTGTAGCCCAGCTGGAGCTCGGTAGCGTGGATGTGCCACCGTGGCACAGGGATGCTCGCAGCTGGGGCTCTCCTCATCTTGGTGATGGTGGGGCTGCCCCTGCTCTGGCGTTATCTTGTCTTTTTGGGCTGCTGTGTCAATTTTGAGGTGTTTTTCTCTTTCTTCCATCCTAGGGAATGGGCTACCTGCACGCCAAGGGGATCCTTCACAAGGATCTCAAGTCGAAAAACGTTTTCTATGACAACGGCAAGGTGGTCATCACGGACTTCGGCCTCTTCAGCATTTCCGGAGTTCTCCAAGCGGGCAGGTAGGACATGGTGTGGTGGACACACCGGCGTTCCTCCCTGTGCCCTGGAGCTCCACTTGGAGGTGGGAACACAGGGAGGGAGCCCAAAAACCTCCTCTGCAAGTGCCTTTCTGGGTCTGCAGCCTCGACCGGCATGAGGACAAGGTGCCTTTGGTTGTCCTGGAGCTGCCCCAGGGATTTCAGCATCTCACCTCCCAGGGTTTTGCTTCTGAGGATGCTTGCTTTGGGAAAAGAGCGAGACGTGTAGCTCTTGCAGAGACCCCTCTGCCCCACTCCCTCGAAACACAGCTCCACGCTCAACGCCGGTGTTGGGTTTGCAGCATAAAGCCCTGGAGGGATGGCGAGAGCGAGGTGGGCTTTCCGCAGCGAGGTGGGCCTGGGCTCAGTGCTGAGCAGTGGAAACCAAATGCTCTGCTCCTTGGGTGCAGAAGTTGCAGGTTGTTTGAATTGATTTGATTCGGTTTCATTTATTTTTTAAGCCCAGCATCAGGGAGGCAGAGTTGCTTTGGATCGGTAGGAAGGAGAATGACGTTGCGTGCGAGTCTCCAACATTTTGGTTCAGGGCTTGGCACCAGGCTGAGTCTCTTGGACCCAACCTCTTCCCATGGGATGCATCATTGCCATGCCAAACCACTCTACTGCCAGCCAGGAGATGCTCCTCGGGCTCTGTTTCACTGGAGCTGGCAAAGTTGGCTTGTTCCTTGGCCTTTCCCCAACGCCATTCTAAATCCCCTGGCATCTCCTTTGGCTGCTCTGGTGACCTTTCGGGTGCTGCAGACATCTGGCCGTGGTGTTTGCGCCGAGCCGGGGCATGGAGCAAGACAGCGAGAAAACGAGAGCCGAGCTCGGGATATTTACAGCATCGTGACATTTATTGGTCTCTTTGGGTTTGGAAACAAGCCCATTTGGTAAATGTTCCTTATTAAATGTTGGTTTCCCTCCCCTCCCCACCAGTGTTTTGGGAGATTTTCAAGCTGTAGGCACGGCAGGGTAAAGAGTTTCAGCAGCTGTGGAAAGGAAGCAAAGCAAAGCTGGGGGGAAAAGGAAACAGGAGAGGGGAAAAAAGAACAAAGATTATGTTTTCCTTTTTTGTGAAAACTGAAAAAAACCCGGGAGTGTTGCTGACTTCTCGCAGTGGGAAAGTGCCTTTGCACTAAACCCTTTGTGTTAGAAGCAGCCCGGGCCAAGCGTGGCCTTATCGGCACCGGCAGCTTGGGCAGGTTTCCTCCGGCAGCGCGGTACTCACCTCCTGGTCTTTTCCGTCTCCGTCACCCCACGGGACAGGGTTTGTTGCTGGCGAGGTTGTGGTGGCCCAGCAGTGCTTTAAGGCAAAGACGCTCAGGCTGGAGAGATGGGCCTGTGAGAACCTCATGAAGTTCAATGTGGCCAAGTGCAAGGTCCTGCACGTGGGTTGGGGCATTCCCAAGCACAAGTACAGGCTGGGCGGAGAATGGATGGAGAGCAGCCCTGAGGAGAAGGACTTGGGGGTGCTGGTCGATGAGAAACTCAACATGAAATGGCACCGTGCGCTGGCAGCCCAGAGAGCCAACCGTGTCCTGGGCTGCATCCAAAGCAGCGTGGGCAGCAGGGCGAGGGAGGTGATTCTGCCCCTCTGCTCTGCTCTGGTGAGACCCCCCTGCAGTGCTGCATTCAGCTCTGGGGTCCCCAACATCAGAAGGACATGGAGCTGTTGGAGCAGGTCCAGAGGAGGCCACGAAGATGATGCGAGGGCTGGAGCACCTCTGCTCTGGAGACAGGCTGAGAGAGTTGGGGCTGTTCAGCCTGGAGAAGACAGCTGCGGTGAGACCTTCCAGCACGTTCCAGTACCTAAAGGGGCTACAAGGAAGCTGGAGAGGGGCTTTGGACAAGGGCGCGTAGTGACAGGACGAGGGGCAATGGCTTTAAACTGAAAGAGGGGAGATTTACATTAGATCGAGGGAAGAAAGTCTGGACTCTGAGAGTGGTGAGGCACTGGACCAGGTTGCCGAGAGAAGCTGTGGCTGCCCCATCCCTGGAAGTGTTCAAGGCCAGGTAGGATGAGGCTTTGAGCAACCTGGTGTAGTGGAAGGTGTCCCTGCCCATGGCAGGGGGGGCTGGGGCTAGATGGTCTTGAAGGTCCCTTCCAACCCAAACCATTCTGTGGTTCTCTGATTCTATGAGATAAAATGCACCTTGGAAACTATATTTTTTTTTTCTAATTCCTGTACGATGAGGTTGAAAGATTAAAGGGAAAGGTGACGACTGCCTCTCTCCATCCCATGCCTCTTGAGGCGAGCCGGGCGGCCAGTCTTTCAGCTCTGCTTGTATAAATACCATCTGGTTTTAGCACAAACGTAGCCAAAAGCTTAGGAAACCCAAGAAATCCATTGGTGCTGCAGCAGAGATGTGAGTTTTGGCTCTGGTTTAGCAGTTGGGTGGGGAATTTGGGACGTAGGTCCTGCCAGGATGAGGTTGCAGCTCGTTCCAGCAGTGGTAGAAGGATTTGGGTGAAAATGGCCAAATTTTGCCAGGAACCTTTGCTATGAAGGTCAGAGATGCTTTGGAGATAAAACGAGAGCTGAGACACTGGGGAAATGGAGTATCTGATGGGATGGACCAATGTGTGGCCATCTCTGCTCGAGGTTGGCATGTCACTTGGTGGCTAAGGTCCAGGAGATCGCTCAGGAGAGGAAGGATGGTCAGAAATGCAAGGCTGGACAGAAACGAGTGGCATTTTGCTAGAAAAATGGAGATCGTGGGGAAATTTCTGCCTTGAGGAGCTCTCAGTGTGGTTGCCCTGGACTGCTGGTGGCACACATGTCTTCTGCCAGCAGAGAGCTTTGGGGATCCACACTCATCGGTTACCAGGAATTTTGAAGCAGCGAGTGCCTGCAGGTCTGATTTCCCTTTTCAAGATGGGGTTTTTGCTGGTTCTGGTTTCTCTTAGATGAAGAAGAATGATGAAGCCTGGTTTTGGGTCCTCAGAGGCTTGCATGGACAAGCCTGTATGGAGAAGGGAACAAGTTTTTGCAGGTCAAGTTGAGGACGGTGAAGTTGCCTCAGATGTGAATGAGAACTGCAAACTGGCCTGTCTTTGCTAGGATTAAAAAAAGACACGGCTTAAAAATCCTCCTCGTCCTCCTACGAGCAGGTTCACCATCAGTTCATGAAAGCATCCGGCACAAGGAGTTTGCAGCGTCCATCCGTGCCAGGACACGCTTGGGCTGCTGAAAAACGAGGCGGCTATTGCAACCGGAATACTTTCTGCAGAGGTGTCATAATCTGGTGTCTTGTCCTGGAGAAATCAGGTTTATTTCTCCTTTATTTAAAGGCTGTAGGGTGTGGTAGGGCTGCTCTGTAGTTAGGAGGAGCTCGAGGTGGGTCTTGAGTAGCCTGAAGAGCTCTTCTGCTCTTGCTTTTGCCTTGGGGCTGGCTTGTCCTCGGTGGCTTTGGAAGATGCTCGTCTGGTTGTACGGCTTTCTGCTGGTGGAAGCGGCCATGTCGGTTATGGAGTCGGACAAACTTTTGCCATGAAACCTCAGATCGCTCTGATTGAACCACGTTTGGGATTGTGTTGAGGCTCAGCTCCCTCGTGGGAAGCTTGGGGCGTACCTGAGCTTCGCATGGGAGCTGTGGAGCCAAATCCTGTCCCCGGAGCATCCCGGGATGAGCCTGAACGCCACTCCCAGGCTACAGCAGCGCTGGATGACTTGAGTGAGCAAAAATCAAATGTGCCGGTGCCATCCTGGTCTGGCTGAGGGCAGCAGAGCAGATCTACATCCCGCTCCCCGCTGCCTGCCCGGGCATGGAGACCACGGACACGGAGAAGGACGAGCGAGCTCCTCCGCCTCTTTTCTAATTACCCCGGTGCTTAACGCTGGCTTGTAATTAAGAGCTGCGCAGGGCTGGAGGATGGTGGAGGGAGCGGGGGGGGGCTGAAAGCCTCTCCCCTGTGCCAAAGTGGTGTCT